CGGGCGGGGGGGGGGGGGTTTGCGGGCCCTGCCGTACGTCTTTGGCTACTGGGTCTTCCCTCGCCGTGGGAGGGGCCGTTGCCAATGCCCGCCCCGGGAGGAGGGACCCGGGATGTCAATCATGGGCGCTCTTCCTTCTCATTGGCGCCAGTCCGTTATGTCCCCGCACCTTCGTTACGCCCCGCCTCCGCTCGCAGCAGCTAATCAGAGAGCGGGGGCGTGGCCTAGGCGGCTTTCCCCGCCCCTCGCCGTCCATTGGCTCCCGCTTGCCCAGAGGTGGGGGCGGGGAGCCCCCGGGTCATGTGAACGGGCGGTCACATGACTGTGCCCGCGAGCGACATGGCGGTGCCTGGGGCGGCGGCGGTGCTGTTGCTGCTGCTCGGGAACAGGGGCCATCCCTGCCGGGCTCAGGGGGACAGGGGCCATCCCCGGGTTGCTCAGGGGGACAGGAGCCATCCCCAGGGGGTCCCCACACTGTACCCCTCTGTCTGCAGCTGAAGTGGTGCGCCTGGATCGCCGTCTACTGCTCCTTCATCAGCTTCGCCAACTCCCGCAGCTCCGAGGACACCAAGCAGATGATGAGCAGCTTCATGTGAGTGCTGGCGGCTCCGGATCTGGCCCTGGGGTGCCGCATCCCCTGCGGAGGGGACAGCGGGGAGGCCGTCCCGGTTTTGCGGGGGTCTCTCAAGCCCGGGCTGGTGTCTCTCCCCGCTCCAGGCTTTCCATCTCAGCCGTGGTGATGTCCTACCTGCAGAACCCCCAGCCCATGTCCCCGCCCTGGTGACGGCCAGTGTGGTTCCCTGGGGAGGGCGCTCAGCGTGGGGGAGACCAGGGAAATAAAGGGGGTGCTGGGGCAGAGCTCGTGGTCGTTGTGGTTTGTACCTACCTGTGTGGGCTGGACCCTGCTCAGAGCCGCGGCATCAGCCAGCAGATGGGGTGGATGGTCCCCTCCGGGCCTGGGGGAGCCCCAGGGGTGTGGGACCCCGCTTGGGGGATCCGGGGGGCCTGGCGGGGGGAATGGTGGGAGGAGGGGCAGGGGG